AAAAAAAAAAAAAAAAAAAAAAAAAAAAAAGAATGACTTAAAGCAGATAAAAGTTTGAATGTGATTTGTAGAATAAAACTACAAATAGTAATAACATTAAATGCCTTTAAAAAGTGTTCAGATGTATGTTACATGTTTATTTGTATTTGTAAAATAATCTCTCTTAATTTAGATATGGGAAGTTTGACCTTTAAATTTGTTTCTTTCTTCAACAGTCATGTGTGATACTTCTAAGCCTTCTCCTCCTCTATGATGTATTTTTTGTTTTCATAACACCATTCATCACAAAGGTATGATATTTTTAAAATCCATGAGAAACATGCTAAAAGATGAGAATCTTAATGCTCTTAGAGTATTGATTTTGCAGATGTTTACCACTGACTGAGTTTTAATTCTCTTAAGAAAATTATCATTGAAATTGGCCTTTTAGCAGAGGATATTTTTAAGTCTTTAAGCCATTCTGCTAAATAAAAAAATCTGTCCTGTTTGATGTAAACATGAGAATATCTATAAATTTTCCTACCCATTTTAAAGTAACTTTTCTTATTATTGTAAAACTATAAATATGTGCTATAGAGAATATAGACAGCAAAAAGAATAAAAAAGTGTCATTGCTACTTTCATTTCTGTAACCCTAGTGTGAGACTAAGAAAGAGCACCACACTGAAAGTCTGAAGACCTCAAGTGTAGGTCTGTAACTTTATAACCCTGGGCTGCTAGTCACTTAGCCCTCAGTTTCCTAATCAGTTAGGTGAGGAAGTATTGCTAGCATTCCATCCTCTCTTTCCATCAGTAGGATTCTTTTGGTTGCCACTGCCAGAACCCAACCGAACCTTTCTATATGAAAGAGGTCCCATCTACCCAGGACATGTGCAAAGGCCAGGGTGGGCCTGGCCTCAGGAGAAACTAGACTCAGGGGCACATGCTCTTCCTTTCTGCTTCTGTCCATATGTTCATTGTCTCAGACTGGCTTTTTCCATGAGTTTAGAATCATAGCACTCAAATATCTGTCAAATGTTGACTGATCAAAAATCTGGAATCACTTGTCACGTTTTAAATCTTAATACTGCTATGAATGAATTTGAAAGTAATTATTGTAACACAGATAATAGTCCCTTCACTTATAAGTTATATTTGTTCTCATATTTGTATTTTTACTTTTCTCATGTGTTTTGACCCTCATAAGTGATCAATAAATATCCTTCAAATAAATGAAAGTAAATTAAAAAAAAAAATAGGTCATCTATTCCCAGCTTTACCATTAGCTCCTCAATAAAATCCTGGTGCTGTTCTTAGAATAAGGGAGAGGTGTTGGATGAGTGTGGTAGTCCTTCGTTGCCCAGTTTTTCTACCTTGTGCCTATTCCTGTCTCATGAACATATTTTTAATTATTGCTTAATTCTTCCACTTTCCCCACTTTGGGTCTTGCTTTGTAACTTCATATCATTTCTTTATCCTTTGTCACTCTCATATATTTAGTGTTTGATATTATAATCACTGCTTTTTTCCCTAGTAGTTCTTTATTCTTTAGCCCCTACTATCTGTGAAATCTCTGCATTTCTGATATTTGCTATAATGGCATAAGACAAACATGTGCTCCCTTGGGGAGCTAAAATTGCAACTAGGTAACAAATGTAGTTAACTGTCCCAAAACATTAGCACCTTTCCATGCTTTAATGATGAGCCATCTGGCTCACTGACTTCATTTGCAATAGTAACCTAAAAAAGCATACCACTAGTATTCTGGATTATAGCAAAATTGTTAATTTACCAAAGCATATTTCAAAGTTCTATCCAAAGCTGTTCTAGCTTGTGTCAGTTTATTTGGTTAAAAAAAAAATGTTTCTATAAGTCACTCCATCAGAGATCTCATAATGAAAGTAAAGCACTCTCTCTACAAAGGCATTTCCATAAGTCAACACGTAGTCATACCATATGATACATATTTTGCACAGTGGGCATAGCTATAAACTATAACTAAACTATTTATTTATTTTTGGCTGCATTGGGTCTTCATTGCTGTGCACGGGCTTTCTGTAGATGCAGTGAGTGGGGGCTACTGTTCATCGCTGTGCGTGTGCTTCTTGTTGCGTATCTTCTCTTGTTGCAGAGCACAGGCTCTAGAGCGTGCGGGCTTCAGTAGATGCGGCACGTGGGCTCAGTAGTTGCAGCACGTGGGCTTAGTAGTTGTGGCGCGCAGGCTCTAGCACGCAGGCTCAGTAGTTGTGGCACACAGGCTTAGTTGCTCCACAGCATGTGGGATCTTCCCGGACCAGGGCCCAAACCCGTGTCCCCTGCATTGGCAGCAGATTCTTAACCACTGTGTCACCAGGGAAGCCCCTAACTAAACTCTTTAAAAAATAATTTTTCCATTCTGTTTTAACGCTAGTATCACTTTATAAATGCCAAGCTTGTCTGCCAGCAAACTATGTCCATTCACTACACATAAAAAGTTTTAGTATATTAAAGGTATATGGTAATAATAAAGATGTCTTTGAGTCTTCTTTCCTCTGTGCTTAGGGAATTTTTCATCTTCTTTTTTTCCTTCTTTGTTCCCAGTGACTAGGAATGTGATTTCTAGTAATCTGATCCACTGGAAAAGATTCAAGTGCTCTTTAGCGTTCACTGTTGTAGATTTACCTTAACACCTTCTTCTCAGTCTGGTTTGTTTGTTAGGCAACTCAAAATGAAAATTAGATACATGATTTCTGATTTTTGTGGTTTTCACTGAAAATTTCAAGGATTAAATATTAGACATTCTAAACATGTTCTTGACCCTGGTATTAGTAGACTGTTAATGAGTTGGCAGGACAGGTAGCCATAGGAGTACAGGTAATAAGAGCCTGTCTTCATTTTTTTTTTCATCCACCACCATACTAGGTATAGTATCTTGCAAACAGTAGTTACTCAGGTAGATATCTTTGAACGTATAAGAGGATGTTAATAATGGTCTTCAGTTAAATGTTTTAAATAGCAATTCAAAAATGAACCAACGTGAACTCTATCTGGAAATTGAATCATATCATGGGAGTTTGCTGGAAAGAACTGTATTTAATATTAGTTTATTTTCATAAACTCCTGTGATTTAACCCTTCTGTAACCCGAAGCTTAACATAAGGAAAAGATTTCTGTAACTAAGGATTTTATCCTTCTTTCTACTCAGCTTAGGTGTCAGTGAGTCTTAAAAATATTTTTAAGTCTTCTTAAAAATACTCAAGTAATTTCACCTATGCACCCCACCCACATGGCAAATAGTATAGCTAATCAATCAAATTTTCCTAAAATTCAGCATTATTTATCTTCCGACTACCTATTTGGGGCATGTATTTATCATAATGTGAAGTGTAAGATGGGTGCTCATGCAGTCTTAGCTACATCTGAATGTTTTCCCTCTCCCCAGTAGATTTGGCCGTCAGGAAATAACTTTTTAATAAACACAGCCCACATAAAAAGACCTTAGGCATACACAAAGAAAAACTTCGGCTAAGGTTAATATTTTGATTGGTGCATAAAAAGCAGGCAGGGCTGAAATTGGACAGGAGTCAGGATAGAGAAATGTTCTCAAGTTCTTTAGGGCTGGGTCTTTTCAGGTTTGGCTTCATTGTTATTGTGGTGAGTAGTCGGAAGATCAAATGTAAATAAAGTTACCAATATTTATTACAAATCTAAATATAAAAAATTTCAATATTTCTTGTGTCTCTGTTCATTGTTATTGCTAAGAATGACTAAGGACACATAGTATATGACATAATGTAATTAAAAGCACTTAAAATTTATAGCCCATTAGAAATGCTAGATATTAGTTGTCAGCATAAATCAGTGCTCAAACTCAATTGAATAATCTTTGTGTGGTTTATCTGTAAGTTTCTGATAATTGTTGAGCTCTGATAAAGTGGAACAGCATGCTAGATGAAATTTGTTTTAGATGACTCCAAGTTTTGCTATCTACAGAGACCGTTTTAGGAAAAAATCAGTCTACAACCCATTTTTCATCAGCTTACAGTAGGCCATGAGCCATGGGATCAAATCTTTCTTGAACACTGGCAGATTGTTCCCTTTAAGTGATTGAACAATTTCTTTCACCTTTCTTCTCAATTTTAGAATGGTGAGAGTATCATGGTTGAACTTGCAGCTGGACCTTTTGGAAATAATGAAAAGGTAGGGATGGCAATTAAATACAAATGGCTGCCAGTGTATGTGTGTGTGTCCAGTTAATAATTTTGCCTTCTTGTGTAATTCATTGGTCACGTAGTGCATGTTAAGCTATTGTAAAACTTTATTTCTCACAAAATATATCCCTTTTATTAGTTATTCTAAATTATTAAATACCTATTGACTTGGGTTTCATCCTAGAATGATGGAAACTTGGTGGAAGCCACTGCTCAACCCTCAGCTCCCCATGAGAAAGTAAGGATTGTATTTCAGATATGTTCATTGGACTTTAAATCATACCCTCTGAGACAAGACTCTTCTTTGGGGAAAAAAAATCCAGATTGCCAAAAAAAAAAAAAAAAAAAGTTTCAAGGCCTGAGTCCTATTTTTGGTAAAAAGGAAAGAGAAAAAGGTTAGATATGCGGATACTGGATTAATACTGTTAACCCTACATGTGTGTTGGGTTTTGTTTTTCCAAAACTACATATCTATTTCTTTCAAGCTTTCTATAAATTCAGAGTATATATATGCCTAATTTATGTTCTCTGATTCTAAGCTTTTCTAAAATGTTAATTCTCAAATGTTAAAACAATTACTCTAATATCATTCCTTCCATTTCTAAAGATATGGGTAAAGATTCCTAAGAGGTTTATTGGTGGCCTCTTTTGTTTTTGTAATTACAGTTACCAGTAGTCATCAGAGTACCAAAGCTGGCCTATTTCTCAGTAATGAGTGTGTGCCTCATGCCAGTTTCAATATTGGGTTTTGGAGACATTATTGTACCAGGTAAGCGGTTGTTTGTATCAATTTGAGTGGAAATATACTGATGGTTTAACACTGTCAAATGTATAGTATCAAATGTCAAATGTTAAAAGTTACCTACTCTGTATTAAGTATTTCTGGCTATAGCTAGAGCTGGGATCAGCCACAGAGACAGAGGTGGAGAAAAAGTGTTTTGGGGGGTAGAAGATAAAGCCCAAATAGTAACAACCAAAGTATATTTTCCATGGCTCAACAAGTGTCTTAGAAGAAGTAACTAGTATCAGTTTGACCTTCTTTCCCAAGAAAGTATATAACAAATCCCCCTTTAAACGTTGAATTTAATATTACCAAATGTATCATAATAAAATAATAGTTATATTCTAGGAAAAGTGGTTTAAGAATACTAAGCAAGGTCATGACCAAGAGGAAAACATAGTAGAACAACAATAGCTTGTAGGGCACTATAATGCAAAAAAAATACAGCATGTGGTGGAAATTGATCACCTCCTAGCATGTCTTCTCTGACAGTTATTGCAGTTCTGCATTATTTTCCTCACTGGGCTACCTGTAGAATAAAGTTAATCCCAGCCCAGGAGTAATATAGTGTAGAAATAATTAATAATGTTTCTCAATCAGCTGAGAGTTTTTCCTTCCTCACTTTACTTATAGTCTCCTTATGTACTAACTGCCTGTGGCTGGATAAAGAGTACTGGCTCTTCTGAAAAAGCCCTTTCATTGACATAGTAAAGCTGGATAGAGAGATAAGCAAAAAGTGTTGCCGTGTGAGCTGGATGGCAAAGACCAGTGTAGCAGCTCTCTTAGCTCAGTGAGTCTCCATTCACATAATTGATTAAGTAGGGA